CCCCCCCCCCCCCCCATTGGCCCCCTCCCCCCATTGGCACCCTCCCAATGCAAATTATTGATGATAGAAGAAAATATGCAATTCAACCAGAGGCTCAGGGTGGTGGACCATGATGGAAAAAAGTCAGGTGGTTGCAAAATGAAAAGAAAATTTTTCAAATGCTCAAATGGACAAAAATACAATCAATACTAAAAAAGAGGGAATTATTGATGACATTTAAAGCACTTAGGGGTATGGCTCCAGAATACTTAACACAGATGTTTCATGTCTCCGTTAACCAAACCTACCATCTACGAAATAATCATCAAAAGCTTTACCTACCAAAACCTAAGACGAATTTTTTAAAACGAAGCTTCTCCTATAGAGGAGCAGTTTCATGGAACCAAATTTTAATGGAAAAACTTCCAATTATGGAAATACCTGAAACTTCCATCTGTTCTTTTAAAAGATTAATAGATGGCTTGTGTTTTTGAATTGGGAGGTCATCCTGCCAAACCATATCAAAGCATTATGCTTTGCCGATGTAAATAGAGTATATTATGCATGATTGTTTATTTTTTGGTTTTTTTTTTTAGTTAATAATTTTAATATTCTTATAATATTTTATAGTAAGTGTGCACGGCCCTTTGAAAAACAGGCTTCTGAAAGGCTACCGTGAATAAATAAGCTTAAATAATAATAATAATAATAAAATAAAATGACAGTGATTTATTGAGGAAACTAGTAGTTAGTGACAAAGAGCCGCTGTTTCATCTGGAAGTATGGATTTTTTAAAGAGATGTTTGAGTCCCTCAATGAAACAGCAGCAGTTTGAAATGCAGGGATGTCAATTTGATGTTTCCAGGCCTTTCGGCTGAAGTTACTCCAGATGTTTGGAGATACTCAGTCACTCCAAACAATGGGCCTTCGCTCAAAACATCAAAATTCTCCTTACATTTTTCAGGTAGTTGCACACTTCCTACACTGGCACAGACAGTTCAAAAAATAACTGCATGTATTACTTTATTAACTTATAGAATTTACAACACACAATTTGAGAAGCAGGGTACTTGACATTACATAACGATTTATACACACCATTCTTAACATGAATTATTGACAGAATAAAGCTTTGGAGTGTCTTTCTGAGATTAGCAAGAACTACACCCAGTACGTTTCTGGAGTCTTTAAAGACACAATGTATTGAGGTTATGGTATAATTAGAAATGGATAGAATGGATTACTGTATTTCTTGAAAAATTAGCAGATATGTTAACAGCAGGGGCAACTGCCCCCCCAGATAAAATTTAACTTACCGTACTAATTTTATAATGTCACTGTAAATTATTAAGCCAAATGGCACTTTTGTGAACCAGAATGTATCATTCTGTATGCATGCATTACAGCAAGTGGTTGTGCTTGAGATCACAAGTCTAATATAAATAGCTCAAAAGTGATTCAACAAGATTACATGAAATTTGATACAATTAGTAAACATTTTAGTGTGTTTATTAGTGATTGACCGATTGTGTAACAATCGGAAATTACCAATTATCGATTATTCATGCCACAATCTATGATTATCCATTATTCATGCCACAATCTACGGATACCGACTTTATAATGGCGTCATAATATCAGTCGACTGAAAAGTGCGTATTTTCTCAACAATCGGTTTTACACATTCAGAAATATAGATAATTCTACCAATTCCGATTGTCTACAGATGAAGCAAAAATCGGACCAATGCTGATACCGATCGGTCAGTCATTAGTGTTTATATGGTTGTTATGGCAACTGAATGTACCAAGGCGTTTACACCTCTCTTTACTGCCAGCTCAAGAACAACCAGTGATGTCATAACTCAAATTTTTCATTTCATAAATACTTTGAGGAAAATGCATGCTAAGCTTTATGTAAGAACAAACAATGTTTGTATTTATTTACATCCAAAGACCGAACATTTTCAGAATTCAAGAATCTTCTTTTTAAGTACTATATTTTAGCATTGGAAAATACATACGATGTTGAGGATCCCCGCACATGGAAAAGTGTGCGTATAAAATGTAATTCCACTCGAAGTTTAATGAACTCTCCATTGACATGCTGCTTTTAGACATAATGTAATGGCTGTTGTTCAAGTATTGTTTATTGTGTGTGTTTAGTATACCTTGTAAATTGTTTCCGTATAACTATTGGGGCCGCTGTAATTGGCAATAGCTGTTGTGGTTTCCCAGCCAATGAATGTATAAGTATGATGGCAAAGTAAATAAATAAATAAGTATTGTAAGTTACATTCTGGTTTAAAAATGTCAGCGCAAGCGATGTTTTTGACAACACTGACATCACATGCACATCATTTACAAATTAATTATCAGCAATTTGTCCTTGAAATCTAAACAGCAGTTGATGTTGATTATTTCAAACAAGAACAGTTGTCTACAAAGGCTAGATTTCAGGCATTCATGAATCACCAATAAATATCAATAATAAATATCTAAAAAAACCCACTTGTTTAAGCTCTGTAATATATATTACTAAACCAGATTTCAAGCACTGGCATTTAGTCTGGCATTGATAACTGTGTCAAAGTAATGAGTAATTATAATGGATTGTAACCCAGCTGCAGGATTGGTGGCTACCCTCAGTGCATCAAGGGATAAACTTGGAATGTGCTGTATACAAACAATTTTCAGACTCCAACTTGCACCCTAACCTCCTACTTTCCTATGCAGCCACTTTTGTGTCTTTTCTGCCTTTTATTGTGCTTTTGCAAGTTGCAACCCTAGCCTGGTTGCCCTGATTGCCAGGAGTCTGGGTGATTAAGAAGAGACTCTTGAAGGGGAGACTCTTGAAAGGGAGACTCTTGGTCTAGCCTTGATGAACAAAATCTTCACAAAACAGAATAAGAATAGTGCCTTTAATGATAAAACATCTGCAATTTCAATGAAAACGTTTCCTACACACAGTTTGTTTGTCGACAAAATGCATGCCATAGTTGTAATAGTAGAGCTGATTAATAAATGGAATGGTATGAAGATCACAGCATCCAACAATTGAGTACATGAAACACTACACCATCAATGTTAATTACTGTAAGTGGGAAAAACATTGACAGACTTGCCACAGGAATACAGACAAGGTCTGAAGAGTACCTATTTTAGGTGAGTTAGGCTCAGTATCCCTCACTTGTTTGTGTGGTAAAAAATGTGAAAATCATGACAGTATGTCTTTTTGCAGTTAGCCGATTTTTTCACTCTTTTTACTGAAATAATCCATGTTTTGTCTAAGTCTTTTTTTTTTAATTCCAAGATAGGTGAATGTTTACAAATATCCACATTAAAGTATGTTCTAAAATGTAGCATATTGTTGCCAACTATATTGATACAATGAGCCATTTTAATTGAGATGATTACATGTATCTGGATTTTGGGTTAAATATCAATATATGTAGTGAAGTGAATGGTAATATCTGGACAATATGTACTTTATAAGTACACTGGATATTACTTGAGCTACTAGCTAGGGCACTGCTACGGCTGTTGTTAGCAATATTTTCCCCCAAAGATTAAATAATGCAGTGCAGTGAAGCAAGGCAATACATAAGTATTGTAAGCAGCTGCTCTGTGATATGTGCTTCTGCATGTCCCATTGTCTCAGTCACAGGGTGTGATGTAATCTGTTGATAGAAATATCACACTAAAAATCTCCTTACATCTACCTATTAAAAAGCATCACTTTGTAAAAATTTCCGGAGATTTTGAAGACAGGAAAGTCAATCTAAACACTCACGGTTCAATATTTCTCAACTCCTGAAGTAGCCATGCGTTCACCGTTCAGAGACATAAACAACATCGTCATAGATATAATTACAATTTTATATTTATAGTTCTAGCGTCGTTTTGCTCATACGCACGCAGATTTCACTATCATTTTCACACAAATGCACGAGAATTGCAAATTTCCACATTATATATTAGTCGTTAGGAGAAATATACGCGCTGAAATATTACACGTGTTTCAATATATAAAGCCGTGAACATTGAAGTTGAAAACAAACGCTATTTTCGCTTGGCGTCGCTATCAGAATATTTTAACACTTGCAATTTATACACGAAACATTAATTACATGATGAAGGCATTATATCTAAATAATCAATATACAATAATGAAGGAGACTTGTATTTCGTGACACGGGTTATGTCAAAGCAGAATACATATTTAAATATGGAGCACTCTGTGTACTGAGATCCCAACAAAATGCAAATTATACACTGAAAATCAACTGGATGAGGGAACAATAGTTGACAAACAAAATAATATAAACCAAGAACATTTGTCGTTTGTTAGTATTCAACATTTTAAAGCAGCATTCAAATGTGAGAAAACAAGGTTCTGTTTGAAAGACAGTTTAAGATGCTAAGTTTGTGTATCACAAAACAAAAACACATCTAGAAGTACAACACTTGTATATGAATTCATTAGAAGGAAATATTTATATTTATCACACGTAAGAAAGCTCATAGGAAGCATTTAAGGAAGCAATTCCTGTCACGACCAAGCACTCGCCAGAGAACTATGCTGAAATGCTGACTAAAGCAGTCTGACTTGCAAGCTTTGCGGACGTTTTAAATTTAATGTAAATATTTCAACGACTATTGAAATAAGTCCACCTTTTCTCCACGATGCAAATCACAGGGCTGCAAATTGTCAGTATAGCGAACTTTCTTTCTCAACAACACCTCATGAACACGTAAACGCTCGCTCATGTAAAACGATCGTTTCTCGCTTCATAAACTTTCAAATAACTGCAGTAAAATGTTAAGAAGTATTGCTAAAATCTTACCTTTACATATCCCGTGAGATTTGATGTCCTATTTATTGAACAAAAGGCTTAGATTTGAAACAAATTCAAATGAATTAAACGCTCTCTCCTACAACAAAAACGCAGAAATCCTGCTCAATAATGCCTTCACAGCAGGGCTATCTCGAGCCCGGGCTACTTCCGCTTCACGCGGACACAATGCAGGAAGTACAATTTATATTTGAAAATCACAACTTTTTCATAACTGGTTTTATAGACAGAACATTTTCTCAACGCCAATAACTTTATAATTATATTGTATTACATGTATATATATATAATATAATATTTTAACTTTTGCCACCGGAAATATGTATATTGAGAATAATATTACTTTAACTTCCGCATTATGTGACGTAATATCATTTACTATCTTTCCTGGAAAACGTTTCTGGATAAAGAAAGTTTTATCAAGATCAATTAATGGTATTTCAGGAAAACCTGATATGGGGGTTGTGCGCTTATTTTAGCACGGCATATAAGCACTGCAAAATAGTTTGACTAACTCACTGACGCGACGTTCGTTGCGGGGGTTGGGGTGAATGTCTCAAAGAGATTTGGTTATAATTTCGCCTCAGTCGTATTTTTCAGTTGCTCGGGGATTACATCCAATGGGAATATCGCAGTTTATCTTCTACTATAAGAATATGATTAATAGGGATGCAAGTACTTGAAAAATACAAGGACTGTCAAGGAGAACTTCGACGTTTCTAGAAGACCGCACTATATAGGCTACTACTGCTTCCCGACAAAAGCCTTCGCTCGAAACGCTCAAATTCTCCTTATATTTTTCAGGTAGTTGCATCCCTATCAATCCTTTCTTATTATTGCCACTACCTACACTGGCTCAGAGCGTTCCGAAGATAGACAAGATTATCGTCTAGTCAGTTGACTCGGAAAGAGTTTTTGTGAAAAAATGAAAACAAGAAGACTGGCTTGAAAGAAAGACTGTATATAGTTTTCCTTCAGTGCAGTGGCGAAAGGGGAGTGCTGTGGGTGTACAAGTACCTCAACAACAGAAGTGCCTTGTTAGCGACCTAAATATTATCACAGACACGTTTTTTCATTGTGCACAGTCGGTTGGACCAAGAATTCCTAATCAGGATTAGAGTACGATTATGAGATAACTGTAAAATTCATTATGTCGCTGTTTATGAATTATGAGATTGTTTGTTTTGTTAAAACTGCTCTCAGAATGCAGGAAATAGCGTTTCTAAGCCATAGAAAATAAAAAAGGTTCTGAGGGAAATTGACCCTTGAACTCCCTAGAAGTTTTTCACGGCACGGCAAATCCAAGCAAAACTTGATTGCGAGCCTGCAACAGGGTTATCTAGTGTAAAAAATTAGTTCAGGTGCTAGTTTTCCGTAATACTGGAGCAATAAGAGCCCGCACTTACTGGACCTCATTAATGCCGGAAGAACAGTTTAGAACTGATAGAGGCTGCTAGTAAAGTTACTTTAATATATAGTGTTTTAAAGGGGAGTATCTTTGACACTTTGTTGTTTTTCAAATCATAAAATATCCATTAACGTGAAAAATCTGATACAAAGTAATTGTTACTGTCATGCAGATCTGGTTTAATGGCGAAATAGAAAGGGTTTTGTTTTATTTTTAATTAAAATTTTCCCCTAACTGTGCACCGCGTGTAGTTTTGCTGAAGTAGGCGAAGTCAGGCAGAACAGAAGATAAGTTATTACGGCTGCACGAGAAGATCCATTTAAATGTTTCGCATATGAAAAAACGAAATGAATAAAAGGACTGCATTTAGTTTTGTGTATGATTTAATGTGTATTTGTTGACTGGTAGTTGATAAAATTTAGAAAGATTTGAACCTTTCCGTGTGTACAACGTGCACTGGAATACAGCCTGGGTACAAGTTTGTACTGTATGTTATCTCTGTTAGATGTCATCATGCTGTTTATTTGTTTGTGCACTTTATTTACTCGCCTGCGATGGTATCTTAAAAACCTCCCACTGGTACTGAGCAGATTTATCACAGACACAGTTGGCATGATCTGCATGCATTATCCCAGATTTGGCCCAGATAGTTTGATACTTGTATAACAACACTCAACAGTACATTTAAACATAAATGAGTTAGTCCTGACGAAATGAAACTGATGTTCATGTTTATAGTCTAGATCTTCAGTTTTATATCATTGTATATATTCGGGGTGGAAGGTGAGTACTGAAGATTGAAAAGATGTGCGTTTTGAAGTGTGAACTGATATTGCCAGTATTTTCTTTCAAGTTCGGTCGCTGTGGGTGTTTCAAACAAGGTCAATGATCTCTTCAATGTCAATATGTATTTAATACGTACGATAGCGAACGCGAAATAGGAACTGCACGGGGGCCGGACAAAATTTGTATACTCCGTGACTAAACATTGCTCTACACATTTATACATGCAATAGATTGTATGGTCGTAAGATATACCATTTAACTGACTTCGATACTGCTTCTCTGATCAGAGAACTCGTGGAGAGCCTGTGGATGATGCTATTGATAGTATGACAAAATGGCAATGCTCGATCGATATCAGTGACAGTGCAACCGTCAACAATTAATTGCAAATTGTTGACAAAATTAAACACATCAGCAAAATGAATGCAATGCAATATAATATATCATACATTTCCCGTTTCCTTTTTCTCCTCCAAGTGAAGAAAATTGAAAAACTGTCGGTTGATTTGTCAATATTTGAAAACATTGAACACGTGGTCATTGATGAAGCAATATCAAACAATGTTGTCGGCTTCAACAATTAATGTTCATATCATTCTTATTCAATATTGTTCATAATCCTACACGGCTACAGCCTGCAGGTCTTGACCGAGTGACATAACCTCGACCCCATGCTTGCCTACCCTATTGCGCACGAAACATAAGGATATAAACTGGTTAACTGCGTAGCCCAGGTAACCATAGCAAAGCTCTATAATTGCACAACCAGGATACAGACAGGATATATACCACTTAAAGAAATTACGATTCGTGAGTTAAATTATATAGCATTGTCTTTACAGCAAAGTCTAATTGGGTTTATTAGAATAGTAGACAACCTCGTACCCAGGGTATTTGCTCTTGGGGAGCGAAATACCCTGGTATGGCCTGGTCACGTGACCCGCGGATTTTGCGTAAAATGGCGTATTGGCGTAAAATGGCGAGTAGTTTAACAGTATAGTATTTTCTCATTCTTTCTCATTTCGCGTGACAAGTTGTCGGTACGAGTTCATGTATTAGTGCATGGCAACTGCCCCCACCCCCAGGAAAATTGAAGTAGAGCTGTGCGCCGGAGTACCGGAGCCGACAAAAACTCCAACAAGACAAAATTATGAAAAATTATTTCATATTTCAATGAACTTTTGGTAATGGAAAAATTCAGTTGAATGATTTGAAGTTACTATAAAGTTTAATTACTTGCTCCGATCCCGATTCGTGGCTTCGAAAATTCTGCAAGCGCATTGCTATCGCTTTTGACACAAAAATCCGCTGACCCGATGTATTTTGGGCGAAAATACCACGCTGCCATGCGGTTTTACTTTCTGCAAAACATTGTTTAAACAAGCACCGAAGCACGTATATTTGATAAGTAAAGGAGAAAGCTCAAAAAGGAATAAATAAATTCTGAAATTACACTGAAATACTTTCGCCTGCTTCTACTTTTAAATATGAAATTTCCTTAAGATCGGGAAATCGCAAGAAATATGTGAATTGTCAAAAATGCAAGAAATCAGTAATGTTGCGAGATTTTGAATTTTCCCTCCCTCCCCCAAAATTTAGCATTGAAATTTTTTTGATAAGTCGGGAAAATGCAAAAGCAAATTTCTTTTTGCCCCCCCTTATTCCCCCGTACACCAATATATGCTCTCGACTCTCATCCTCGTTTGATCGGGGCTTTAGTTTATATGCTTAATCTAAATATGAATATTACACTTTTTATTTTATCAGTTTACCTTAAGCCTGTTCGCTGTGAACCTATTGTAATCATGAGCCATATATCAAACATTGTTGTACGACAAAACTCAATAAAACAAAATAAAAATAAGATCATTGGTTGAGATAGTATATCTTTGTTGATAAGGACAGTCTTTGACCGGGTATAGTATGTGAGATTAAATACAAGTCAAAAAGTGACGGTGTTATCAATGAGATATCAATGAGAGTGTCAAGCAGGAAATTACTTAGAATGAATTAGATTAAGGACAAATTTCTAAGGTAAACATGACCTACACTCAATAACATCTGCTGCTAATCTGAGTTTAGCAAATCTTTAACTCCTTAGAGCAATTTAAAAGTGAAAATTAAAGCCCAGCAAATGACTTTCAGACAAGACATAACAAAAATATAAAATTTATTGGCTAACGTTTCGTTGTATTGTTCACAACATCTTCCTTATAGAGCGTTTGCACATGACGTCACAACCGTCATGTTGGTGTTGCAATTCAAAATAATTTTAATTAGACTTTTTTTGAAATACCAACATGGCCGCCATGGCTTTTGTTGAGTTGGTCCCCGGGGAATGACGCTCTATTACAGGGAATTAAAGATGCAATTAATAAAATGGATTTCTTTAATTAATAACCTGAATTCATTTAATAACGGAAATCTTGAACTTAACGTTATAATTAAATTAATGCGAATTTTTATTATCCGCGTTAATAGGCTAAAGTGCATCGGTAATTTCCTATAAGGTAAGCTATATTTCCGAGAATTATAGCTATATGACTATTTAAGACCAATCATTATTTTACTCAGGTAGGAATTAAAAAACAAAGTATGTTTACGAAAGAAGAATTAAATGTGGTGAGATGAACTGACTAACTAACAGTTTGTAAAATGATGGATATGATTTTGGGCATACTATCGGATTTTCCACCGGCAGAAACTTGGCAGCTATCAGAAGTACGTACTTTTGATTTGAAAAATGCCCTTGAACATATTGTAATTGTAGTATTAAAACACCATTGGCATCACCTTGGTATTTATACATGAACTTGTGGTTAGAGCTCGACAACTGTCTCTCTGTAGCTCAGTTGGTTAAAGCTCGACAACTGTCTCTCTGTAGCTCAGTTGGCAGAGCTCGACAACTGTCTCTCTGTAGCTCAGTTGGTCAGAGCTCGACAACTGTCTCTCTGTAGCTCAGTTGGTTAGAGCTCGACAACTGTCTCTCTGTAGCTCAGTTGGTTAGAGCTCGACAACTGTCTATCTGTAGTTCAGTTGGTTAGAGCTCGACAACTGTCTCTCTGTAGCTCAGTTGGTCAGAGCTCGACAACTGTCTCTCTGTAGCTCAGCTTAGTGGTCAGAGCTCGACAACTGTCTCTCTGTAGTTCAGTTGGTTAGAGCTCGACAACTGTCTCTCTGTAGCTCAGTTGGTCAGAGCTCGACAACTGTCTCTCTGTAGCTCAGAGCTCGACAACTGTCTCTCTGTAGCTCAGTTGGTTAGAGCTCGACAACTGTCTCTCTGTAGCTCAGTTGGCAGAGCTCGACAACTGTCTCTCTGTAGCTCAGTTTAGTGGTCAGAGCTCGACAACTGTCTCTCTGTAGCTCAGTTTAGTGGTCAGAGCTCGACAACTGTCTCTATGTAGCTCAGTTGGTTAGAGCTCGACAACTGTCTCTCTGTAGCTCAGTTGGTCAGAGCTCGACAACTGTCTCTCTGTAGCTCAGTTGGTTAGAGCTCGACAACTGTCTCTCTGTAGCTCAGTTGGCAGAGCTCGACAACTGTCTCTCTGTAGCTCAGTTGGTTAGAGCTCGACAACTATCTCTCTGTAGCTCAGTTGGTTAGAGCTCGACAACTGTCTCTCTGTAGCTCAGTTGGTTAGAGCTCGACAACTGTCTATCTGTAGTTCAGTTGGTTAGAGCTCGACAACTGTCTCTCTGTAGCTCAGTTGGTCAGAGCTCGACAACTGTCTCTCTGTAGCTCAGCTTAGTGGTCAGAGCTCGACAACTGTCTCTCTGTAGTTCAGTTGGTTAGAGCTCGACAACTGTCTCTCTGTAGCTCAGTTGGTCAGAGCTCGACAACTGTCTCTCTGTAGCTCAGAGCTCGACAACTGTCTCTCTGTAGCTCAGTTGGTTAGAGCTCGACAACTGTCTCTCTGTAGCTCAGTTGGCAGAGCTCGACAACTGTCTCTCTGTAGCTCAGTTTAGTGGTCAGAGCTCGACAACTGTCTCTATGTAGCTCAGTTGGTTAGAGCTCGACAACTGTCTCTCTGTAGCTCAGTTGGTTAGAGCTCGACAACTGTCTCTCTGTAGCTCAGTTGGTTAGAGCTTGACAACTGTCTCTCTGTAGCTCAGTTGGTTAGAGCTTGACAACTGTGTCTCTGTAGCTCAGTTTGTTAGAGCTCGACAACTGTCTCTCTGTAGCTCAGTTGGTTAGAGCTCGACAGCTGTCTCTCTGTAGCTCAGTTGGTTAGAGCTCGACAACTGTCTCTCTGTAGCTTAGTTGGTTAGAGCTTGACAACTGTCTCTCTGTAGCTCAGTTGGTTAGAGCTCGACAACTGTCTCTCTGTAGCTCAGTTGGTTAGAGCTCGACAGCTGTCTCTCTGTAGCTCAGTTGGTTAGAGCTCGACAACTGTCTCTCTGTAGCTTAGTTGGTTAGAGCTTGACAACTGTCTCTCTGTAGCTCAGTTGGTTAGAGCTCGACAACTGTCTCTCTGTAGCTCAGTTGGTTAGAGCTTGACAACTGTCTCTGTAGCTCAGTTGGTTAGAGCTCTGCACCAGAATCACAGGACTGCAGGTTTGATTCCTGCCAGGGACCTAAAGTTGCATTTTTTGCAACTGCTCCTGGCTAGGTCTAATAAATGTATATAAATTTCCACTCGATAATTTCCATCTACATGGTCCTTTAACATTTATGTTTTTGCCTATTTATAGACTTTGTCTTCGCAATTAATTCGCGTCTTTTTAACACTGAGGAACGAAGGAGTCAGAGCCGTCTTTTTAACATTGAGGAGTCAAGACACCTAGCCCTATGTTGCCCACACCAGTAAAGGTCCATTTTGCTTAAAATGGGAACAATAACATATAAGAGCATTTAATATTCTCGTAACCAAACCTTACTTTTACGCTGAATGTTTAGTCTGTCTAAAAAGATGTGTCGGAACATGCAATAGCTAAATCAAGCCCCAAAGGCTCAAACAAAATTTTGATGGTGGACTCAACAGATTTCGACCCTAAAACGTCTCTGTGGGCGCTGATCCCCTGCCGATTCGCATGATGTGTTCTCTATTAAATTTTATGTATGATTGATAACCACTGCATGATGTTCCGTATCTGACATATATCGTGTGGTCAGGTAAAATAAATTGGCAGAAAAGCAGTCAGAAACATGAAAGGTTGCCATGTTTCTCTATTCAGGCATAAGCCAATGCCATCAGAGTATTCATGCAAATATTGGAAACAGTTTCAGTGAATACCCCTTGTATAATCATGTCGCAACATTAAATTGTCCAAAACGAAAACAACATTTTTTGGGACGTGGGATGATCCCCGGCTGTGAATCACTCATAACGAACAAAATAGTACGCGAAATATATTGCAGGAATTATACTGTTTCTATTAGTTGGCGCAAAAATGAGTTTTTTCCCGACCTACTAGAGTAAACCTTCCACTAAAAGTTGGGATTTAAACAACATGCCGAACCTTGTGACTCACACAACTTTTATGGCGTATTGTATTAGACACAGCATGAAATTCTGATTGTATTCAACTAAAATGCCACGTGATGTCACAGGGTGATGCTTATGGTGATGTCATAGGGATTTTTAACGACGATTTGCAACGCAAATGAAGTTACGCGAAACAGTTTGATTGGTTCTGCAACCCGTTTCTTGGCACATTATCGTCAAATACTGCAGTATCTGTCTGTGTTGCGATACAAACTGGGTCAAAATGGCACCGCACGTTTATGTAGGAACTGGAAGAATACCAACAATAAACATAACATTTCATTGCGGTGTATTGCCGGTGTTGGGATTCATGTTATACTCGTTCATGGTGTTTTTATATCTCAATCAAAGATGCCTTAAAACTACGTCAGTCGCTGGAATACTGCACATAGTTGTGCTGAAGGATTGGAATGTCGAAAGAGAATATGAATCGTACCGGCGCCGAAGTTACGATTTTAGTTCGCAGGGAAGATTTAAACCAGGGAAGAAAAAAGGACCTGTAGAATACGGCAAGTGTTATTCTTCCAAGAATAAACTCCAACCGTTTATGGAACGTTGTGTGGGCCACGAAATATATTAGTTTCGACGGACATACGTTACTCATTATGATGAATTAGGTGATAAGGAACTTTAAACAAGGGGATGATGGATTTGATGTCTATTATATTCTATTATATCGAACATGTTTGAATGGTAGAATGACTTTTATGATAATCCTATATACTCAAAATGTGTGAAGGTCAAAATAATCTGATGCAAATAAATGTTTACGTTTCTAAATTTGTTGAGAAATATTCATCTATGCGAGAAACATTCAAGTCACATACACACATTGTCCATGGGTTATAGTAACTCACATATTTCACAAGTATTAAGTAAGATGTCTAACTTATGGGCCCCAAATTATACGTAAAAACCCTCAAAAGTGGTTTGTCATCTGTAGTTTTTCAATACATTGAAGTTGGTTGAATAATCTCGCTGGCGCCATTTTCAACAAACTTTTCCGTGTTTGGAAGTGATAAACGAATTCTAGCAAAATAATACTACATTATACATAATGTTATAATATCAAACCGTTATTAAGGCCATGTTAGACAAGGAAATTTTTGCTACAACTTGTAACGAAATTTCCCAGAAAAAATGACAAAATTGCAAGCAAGTTGCAGTAAAACGTGCCTCTATAACATAGTGTTAAAAATTCCCCAAGGCCTCCCTTGAAGAACCCCATTTCAAAAATTTATAGGACATAACTGTTTCGAGACCATAACTTGTTTCACTATGTTCGTACATCCTACCTGAGCAGAGACCAACCTTCTCAAACCCAGGTGAGTGACTCCAACCCCAATAACTTGGGGATCACTTCCTCCCAATTGTTGCCCAACTGTAGTCGAGTACACGCACACGGTACCAACTTGTCAGCGGTCTTTAGCCACGTCAGCGCCTTAGCAACCTTGGCCTGCAACTCGACCTCAGACCCATCCGAGCTCTCGTGCATTTTAAATGGCGGTTTCAGTTGAAGCGGGAAAGCGGCTGGCTTGTGATGACGTAGGTATGCGAGAACAAGTAATGTAGCTAACATTTTGCAAAGTATGGTATATATACGAGTCCCTAGATAAGGAAATGGAAAAATACAGGCTTGTTGAGGGGCCTATGATAATTACTTTCATATTATTCTGGGATTGCAGAGCAGTGCGCACCCGACCTAGTGGTATCTAGCCCTAGAGAAGTCCAGCACCATTCTGAAAAGTGACCATACGTTCTCTACTTTTCGTCGAGAGATCATGAGTGAATCAGAGATATCTTATATACACCAGATAATGCATCTAATTATTCTGCAATTAAAAAATTGACTCGTATGTTTTCTATTTCTTAAACAAGGAACTTAAACATTAAGTTAAACCTATTCCAAATACATTTTCAAACTATTCAAATGATGAAAGTTATTGTTGTTTTTTAAGCGTTTATTAGCGAGTAGGAAACTCCAACATGGCCGCCATCTATTCAAATGGGGGTAACAGCTGGAATATTCTTGGCTTTAATTTTACTAAAAGAGATGCGCTATCTAGTCCGCTATATAAGATATCTATGGAGTGACTAACTGTTTTACATCAGTCTAAAGCTTAGTTACCTTTTTCTAATAT